TTAAGTTGTTGTGATAGGAATGGCCAGTCTACGTTTGTTTGAAAACAGGGAGATCCAAATACAAATACAAACACATACAGATCATACTTTCTAGCACGTGTATAGCTCAGAACAGTATAACAGTAACGTTGGAAAACAGAAACAAAAGCTTCTTACCTAGTTATGCCGTTAGAAAGGCGTTTGTATGTCTTCCGTTAGGACGCGAAGTCGTCTACTCGTCACACGGGCGAGCTAGCACAGGCAAGGCTCCATACCCTTCCCTTTAGTTTCCCTGATGAGTTAAGACAGAACACATTAACTTAGCACAACGGTGTTAGACTCTTACATGTAAGAGATAAAGATAAGAGTTTTAAAGAGATACCCCACGAAGTGTTGTTTGGAAAGAAACGGAACATATAATGCACACTCTTGGCATAGGAAAATAAAATGCTAGAAATATATAATAACGGAAAAAGCAAATATCACTAGCTATGGAGATAATGATTATTAAAGAATTAACCAATAGAACACACCACTTAGACAACATTTCGTTGCTGCAATGAATCGTGTTATTATTGGCGTCGATAGTAAAGTGGGACGTAGGGGGCCTTGCTCAACAAGGCCTGAACAAAATAAACGCGGGAATCTGGAGAGTGCGTCATCAGGGCCTTTGTGTCGTCTGCCCGGGCTGTCAATCAAAGGCCCCGTTCACACAGAGACGCTGTAAGCGCTTTCGATCCAGATTCCACCGAAATCGGATTCGAGTGGTCCCATCTGAACGCTCCAAATCGCATCGAAAGTCCCTCGATCCCAAACCACCTCGGGAGGTAGTTTCGAACCGGTTTCCCCGTCTGAACGCAATGTGATTCCAATGTGACTTCACTGGCCCGGTCATGGGGTACAGGGTGATATTTCTTTATTCATATACAATACCAAAATTTACGTGGCAGAAACGTAAAGACCAGTAATGACCGAACAATGTGTTCATTCCAGGACGAGCTTCACCGTCTCTGGCGGGACCACGTCGGCATTCGGCCGAGATACGCTGGGAGGGGGGCACCAGCAAGCAGGTCGTTGACCACTGACATTGATAACACGCTACCTTGCGTGTTTTCATCAAACAACAATGACTGTTGATTAGGCGAATCGTAATCAAGCACGGTTTGAAAGGAACGTGTGGAACATGTGGACTAGATGTGAGGAATGTGACTTACCCGGATCGCGGTTCAGGCGACTCTATGTGAACAAGGCTAAAAAGGGCACGACAAGGTTGAACTGTGTACGGCTGCTCTGTGATTACAGCTCAGTGATGAGACGCGTAATTATGGATGGATAATTCATGTCAGCCTTAATGATATCCAATTGATCATCTCAGTCCCCCTTCATCTGACGTTATTAGAACACGCTCATATAAGGCCACACCGACTTAATTTTATGGATGACATCCACGCGCGCATTGATTTTCGCCCGTCCTCAGAGGCTCTGGCCTGGCTCTAGGCGCTAGGCCTGGGTAGTCCATGGTAGTTAGCGACAATGCAGAGCCGGTGGTAACTCTGGAGGATGGCACCCAAGCTCCACGACTCAAGAACTCAGTACATACGTACAGTGCCGATTCATAAACTCCGCAAAAAGTCAGCAAGTACCGGTTTGTCGCTATGTACTGGCGCAATTTCACAATACTAGCTTTGTATTCCTGTGGTTAATATATACTAGTAATAGTAGCATTCTTACTTTTGGATTTTTTTTTGTTCGCCCGCGCGCACTAGTTTGGGTGTCTTCAGAGGATGTCATCCATAAAATTAAGGCGGTGTGGCCTAACGTGTTACCAATTAAGAAACGAGATAATTCAGATCAATCATACGCTAATCATTCACCTGTCAATCAACCTGATCACAACCAATCATCGAGCTCAACTGTAAACAAATTACTATCGTAGGAACTTGACGCAAAACACCTACTTCATCGACAAAATTTCACGAGGGAATATTTTCATGGCCGCAAATTTTGAACCTGTCTCCCTGTCCTTACCTGAACACAATTTTAATCATCAATACTTTATTAACACCACAGTAGGACAGGGAATTCTGCAAGGTCATATGCATGCCGTGTACATTTGATTGGATACATAGTCATAGAGGGAAAGATATCAAAACCTACATAAAGGCCCAAACAACCACAAATGAGTAACACAAAACGAACCTGTGTGCTGTGACAATAACTCTCTCTCTCTCTCTCTCTCTCTCTCTCTCTCTCTCTTTCTCTCTCTCTCTATATATATCTCTCTTTCTCTCTCTCTCACTCACTCACTCTAATTAAAATTTAAATCGAAAAAAATTATTTCGAATTATTAGGGAACATAATATTTTCATGGTCATTGCTCTGCAGAACTCACCCAACTAGTTCCACCACTCAGAAGTTTTAAGCGATCCACTAGGTTCTCCACTAGCTCACACAACTTCATCGTCCAAATTCCTTGTTCGAAATCTTTTTACAGTGACAGTTTCTTTCCCCGAACGGCCAAGCTTTGGAATTCCCTCCCTGACAAGTGTTTCCCACCAACCCACAATCTATAGGCTTTCAAATCAAACGTTCACCGCCATCTCTTGACATAGCCATGTTTCTCTCATATTTCTAGTTCAATGCCGAGAAGTGGTCGCATAGGCCTTGCATTGAACCACTCCGTTAAAAAAAACATGAACCGTTGCGATTTCTTTTGAACCACCTCGCGAGGTAGGTGGTCTGAAGCGATTTATAATGATTCAAATTCGAATTGCAATCATGAACGCCTGGCGCAAATTCAAGGGAGTCAATTTTTCCTCAGTTGTTGGCTCATTATTTATTGGAACCCGCGGAGCCGTTTCATTCTCATTATGTAACTTACCAACTCACTGATGATGAACTTTCACGCTAGATCAAGGCCAAAAAATTAAGGTCAAGGTTAGATAATGTATATTTTGTAACGCACAAGCTGGATATCGTGCTTTGTCCTTTTGCTATATGTTTGACATTATGGAGTGCAAAGAGGGCTGTGACATTTCCGGATATCATAATGTCAAACCACTTAAAAGCTGTAAAAAACGTGGTTATTGGCTAGAGAAAGATGGTAATACGTAAGGGTGAATGCAAAATATTTCTCAACCGACCTTCAGTACCAGAAATACCTGGTTGCCTAGTTGCCCCGGGCAACCAAATTTTACTTGGGGCAACCTATTTTTGAACCCAGGTAGCCCAGTGTGCTACCTGAATTTTAAGAATGCACCGCCACCCGCCACCCCCAGATCATGCTCACTCGGCTTGCACCGCTGTATCCAGCAGAATGCTTTTTAATTTTAGGTATTAAACTAAAAGGCTATTACTAATATCAGTTGACTAAAGGCTGTTAGAAATATTGTCAAAGGCTTATGTATGTAACATTACTTAATTTGAGGAAAGTCACTGTAGTAAGTGGGGCAAGCTAAAATTCTGATGGGCAACCTAATTTTTGCCGTAGGTTGCCCTGATTCAAAAAAAGCATTTTGTACACTGGTATACATTCGTTCTTTGTCACTGAAAACTTGACCGTGAATTTCGTAAACGTGAGAACAGAAAGCAGTGTAGTGCTCTAGCCATACCTTACCTCAAACTGTTGTTTACGTTTTCGCCCCGGAGGTTCCCTCACAGCAGACGACATTTTCTAAGAATGGCGGCGAACTGATTACGTCACAAGAGCTCTCGTTCCCAGGTTGAACAGCACTAGGTCGTCTTGTTCTCCTCAGCTGCAGATACATGATTCCGCAAGGGGGCGTTATGCAGGTGGTCTGTAGTTATGGTTTGGAAAATCCGGATAAGAAGCGCCTTATAATGCGTGTATATTTTCACCCGTTTGTTTGCAATTGAAAACAGAGTTTCCTTAATAATTGATTATATACTATTGGACATTGAGCAAGTTGATCTTTCGGATGATATTCTAGTACACTTACTACAGTAACTTTTCTTTGAACACTCAAATATTGCTACATATGCACAAAAATGTTTGTTAGATTCCAATCGGTTTTTGTAATATCTTAGCATGTCAGTCCTGTCAAACTTTGTATATATTTGTTCACTTGTTTCATCGATTAATTACTGTATTTGATTTTTATATGTTAATTCGTGCTTTGTTTGCCCTATGTATTACGTATTGTCTTATGTGTTGGTGGCGACATGAATATAAGTGTTACTTGAGTGTGTAACGTCACCATGTTTTGTCAATAAATGTTTCAATGAAAAAAAAAGTTATCACTTGTGTTTATGGTGGAGTCGTGTGGCGTAGCGGTAGCGTGTTCTGCCCAGGCCCAAGAGGTCCCGGGTTCGAATCCTGCCCGGTGTCGCCGATCTTGTGCCCTTGGGAAAGGCACTTTACACGGCTTTCCTCACTTCACTCATGTGTAAATGAGTACCTAGCTTTGGTTAGGGACGTCCCTCGGATAGGACGTTAAATGGAGGTCCCGTGTTTGGGAGAGCCACACCCCACGCACGTTTAAGAACCCACCGCACTTATCGAAAAGAGTAGGGGACCTTCCTGGTGTGTGTGGTTCAAACCTTAGTCTGGACTCAGGGTTAACATCTTGAAGAGATGATAGTCACCTGTTATGTCAATCCTTCCACAAATGTGGTAAATCTTCATAAAATAAAACAATAATAATAAATAAAGAGTCGGCTATATTCTGTTAGTATCACACTGGTTCTTCTTTATTGCGACACCAAATCAAGTATAGACACCAAGTAATAAAGTACTTTCTTCAGACTAATACTGTGTTGTAATGTCTTAGATTACGTCAGATTTTTTTCTTCATAAGTCCGGATTATTTGTCAAAACGACACTCAACGCGTAGGTCACGGGTACACCGGTAAAACGTACTGCGCCTGCGCAAAAATTGTGCATAGCACTTTGGCAGAACGATTTCTTTTAGGTCATATTCAATATTACATCCCGTCAATAGTTTTCAAATGTTGGGTCGAACAAATATCGTCCGCAACCCGCAAAATTCTGATGCACGGTTGGCCAAACTTTGGAACGAAAACCTTGGAACACTCCGAGTTTTGCGCAGACGCACTACGTTCTGCCTGCTGCTCAGGTCACGTGCCTACAATAATGACGTCATATACATGTAAATAAATAGATCTGCACATTTTCTATTGGTCAGAGCTTGGCCATCCATGTTCACATTCGACCAATCACGGCGCGTGGCACTAGTACTATTTGCGATGACGTGTCAACCAACGACGTTGGGAAGACTGATGTTGCTGACTTCCGGTTTCTCCCGTCCTTTCAGGAAGTACGTCATGAGTTCACCTTTGCCCTTGACCTTGACGACCCCTCGCTGTTCCAATTTGAATCCGAACTCCTTGAGAAGGTGGCTCGTTTCTTCAACAACCTGGGCGATAAACAGACAACAATGTGATAAAAATAAAGTTTAACGTATTGTTTGCGAGTTTCCTATCCCCAGAATGCATTGCGAAAACAGGGGTCTAAACATCATTTGCATCGGACAGGAAGGCATCGGAATGATCCTGGTGACGTTAAACAGCTTGCTTTTCACTGTGATTTGAGGTGTTGGGGCATTTTATGCTTAACATTAATTAAATTACTATCGATCGAATCTGACAACAAATAGAGAAAATTTCTGACACAATTCTAAGGGGTTAAAAACACAAGATGTTTTCCGTGTGTACCTGTATCTGACCAGGCTGTCCAGTACTCTCCATCCGACTAGCCACGTTGACCGTGTTCCCCCAGATGTCATAGTGAGGCTTCCTGGCGCCGATGACCCCTGCTACTACAGACCCCTGGTGGATTCCTGTACAGTAGTGGTAGAAAAACCTTTTGGCGACGTCTCAGGGAGGAGCCTAATGCTACAGTATTGTGTGCAATTTGCAAGAATTCTAGGAATTGTACAGGAATTTTGTCCACAGGCATGGAATGTCCACTGGAATGTCTCCCAGCTCTGTTTGCAGACCCACCACATTCCTGGAAACCCTTGGGAAGACCTGTCTGTCCCGGATGCCCTAGTTTCTGTGACCCCGGGGCTTGTTCACTATACACTCAGTGGAGGGGAGGGTACCGAGGCTTCCTCAAAATCACGAAATCATGGCAGTAACATGCAAACAATTCTGTTTGCATGGTACTGCCTAACAATTCTGTTGATTTGAAATAAAGAGGGCTAATCATGTTAATTATTGGTAAAACTAATAAACGCACCTATTCTCAATAGGAAGTTGTTGAATGACTGGTAGTTGATGTTCATGAGGGCCTCCTTCAGAGCGAGTGCAAAGTCGGCCAGATCCGCTAGGTGCTGCAATCTTACCAGTCGATCAGGGCTCTGTGTAAAAAGAAGTCAGAAAAAATTAAAGTTTTTAAAATCCTTCCCACACATTTTGTGTAGGTTTCTGCACACGCCGGGCCATACAGGTCAGTAGGATTGTGTTTTTTAAATGGAGAAATGGAGTTCTCTATGAAAATACAAATAAATAGAATTAGCATGTTTTCAGCACCAAGGACAGGCGACAACATGTACATGACTAATCTTGTCTGCTAAACCTACATGCGCCATGTTGTCGTCAGGGTTGAGTCCCGAGGCGGCCATGTAACAGCTGCCGATGGTCTTGATCTTGGTGATGCTGCGGAACTTCGGTTTGCTCAGGAGCTATAAGACAAGGAAATAGAAACATAATAAATGTTTTTTTATTGTCCAAACAGTACCCGTGGAGTCGCAGCCTTTAACGGCTGAATTGATGCAGGGTATTACATAGTAATCAATACAAATCACAACAATCAAATAATACACATCGTGACACATATTTGCTCCACAATGTTTTGTGGAACTGTCGTAAGAGTCTGTGCGGCTGCCATTCGGCGCCACAAGGTGACCTCAATACGACTTTCCCCAACCGAAGTTAAGTACCCATTCACACCTGGGTGGAGTGAGGAAATTCATGTAAAGTGCCTTTCCCAAGGGCACAAGGGAGCGCATGTTCAGACATGTCCCGGGTACAACTTGGGATCGAACCCGGGTCTCGCCGATTCATAGTCTCTAACCACGAACGCTCTAACCACTACACCACCCGACGCCACACAAAGTGTGAAGTATAAGACTGGTTTAACGCTTCTTACCGCGTCAAAGTCGTAGATGATCTCGTTGAGGAATCTCAGACATTCTATGCCGGAGTTGTTGACGCTCTCCTCCGTGTAGAAGTCGGAGAAATTCGGGATGGAGGCGAACAGGACACCGACCTCTTCATAGGACTGGCTGTACAGCTCCTGGAACAACACAGTTAGTAAGTTATCCCGTTTATTATGTTTGCCGAAGGAAACATATTGTTTTTGCTACGTTTCTGCTTCTTCTTCTGTTCCAAACAGTGACCTCTGACCTGGGCAATGACCTGATTTGTTGACGTCTCTCACCATGGTAACTGGTGTTGTGCTACATAATGTTGCAATTTTATAGTAGAAGGGATTTATACTCCTGTCCGACCATATATATGAATGTATTTGAGTAAGAATTAACCATATGTGAAGGTAAACATTATGCATTTGCTTTGCAAATGTTACCTTTCTAGTTTATGTTTCACCTTCGCATAAGGAAAATATACCGTTTTTTAATCTATTTCTTCTTCTTGCCAATCTTTTCCAAACAAGTAAGGTCAATGACCTATACCAGACGTCTGTCATCATGGTAACTTGTGCTGTAGCGGATGTACTGCGGTGTTGGATAACCCGATTACGTTATGTGAACGAGGTTGGAAGGGCTAGTTACAGAATGTGTTCTAGTAAATATAAACAAAGCAGTTGGTCCTTAGTTATCCAGAAAATTACTGAAAGTTCTAAAATTTGGTGAGTGCAATCTTCTAATTCCCTGAGCTCCCTCATGATTAGAGAGTAGTAAATTTTAGTAGGGCCAAACCTACTTAATTTTATGGATGACATCCTGCGAAGACCTCCAAACTAGTGCGCGCGGGCGGATAAAAAAATTCCGGCCAAAAATAAAAATACCACTAGACCATAGGAGTACAAAGCTGGTATTGAGTATATAGGCAGTACATAGCGACGTATACGACAAGCCGGCACATGCCGGCCTTTTGCAGAATTTATCATATTTTATGAATTGACACTGTACGTATGTGCTGAGTTCTTGAGTCGTAGTGCTTCGGTAGCCTGGGTGCCCGGCTCCGTATTGTCGCTAACTTCCATGGACTACCCGGGCCAAGAGCCAGGCCAGAGCCTCGGTGGACGTGATCTTTTTTTTTGAGAACAGGCGAAAACTAATGCGCGCGCGGACGTCATCCATAAAATTAAGTCGGTGTGGCCTAGAGAGGAGAAAAACAGATCCCACTTGTACCTCGTCTTTCCGCTTGACCCCGATGAAGTGTGTGGACACGTGAGGAGGAAGAATGTTGTTCACCAGGTCCTCGTTTTGTTTCCTGATCTGCCCGACTTCTTCACGTTGCTTCGTGGTCTGAAGAAACATTGAAGAAGGAAGTATTAACTTTAAGAAGAATTGAAACAATACATCCGAACACAAAAACGTAAGTATTTAGACCCTGGTCACTCCTCTGAACCTTCTCAAGTTAAACGGCCCGAAGCTAAGTCACGTCACGTGGGTGGAAGTGTGACGTCAATGACGGGTCAAAGGTCCTCGGCAGTCTGTATCTGCCCCCGTCTCAGGATGATCAAAGTGCCCTCTTTGACTCTCAATCTGTCTCAAACTGTTAACAACATGTCTTAAAGCATATTTTTTCGAATACGTGAATATGGCCCATACAAAAGTTTTCATATATGACTTTCCTTGCGAAACACAATTTTAGTTCGAAAAGAAAACCTGTCGCCAATACTTACCTCCATCTTCCACAGGAAGAGAAGCCGTGTCGCACTTTCCATCTGTCAATCAAAAACGTAAGATGTAATTAGGACTTCTCATCTTCCTTTCGAATAGGCAGTGACGGCGTGTGATAAAAGTACCATGCGCGCATTGTGTTGTGTTGCGCATTTAGGCATGCCATGTGCTTCAGTAAAGTCAATGAGTGCGGTGTGCAAAAAAAAAAGTACTTGTATACCGTGAGAAAACATGTATTCACCGTATGCAATTGCATGTGTGCCGTGTGCAAAAATGTATGCGCCGTGTGCAATCGTATGTGTGCCGTGTGCAAAAATGCATGCGCCGTGTGCAATATCGTATGTGTGCCGTGTACAAGTGTGTGCCGTGCGCAAAACTGTCCCGTCCCCTACCTGTCTGCAGATGAGTAGGAGACAGATGGTGATGACTGACAGACTGACGCAGAGCTGGGCGGCAGGAGGGACGGGGTCCGGGATGTCCGTTGAGCTGAAGATTTAAACAAGAGAAACTTAGACTTGGGCAATCAGCTTGTAGATATGGTTTCTGCCTTTTTATGTTTACCGAAGGAAAACATATTGTTTTTGCTACGTTTCTTCTTCTTCTGTTCCAAACGCTGACCTCTGACCTGGGCAATGACCTGATTTGTTGACGTCGCTCACCAGGTAACTGATGTTGGGTTTCATAATGTTGCAATTTTGTAGTAGAAGGAATTTTTACTCCTGTCTGACCACATATATGAATGTATTTGAGTACGAATTAACAGAGCAGACCATATGTGAAGGTAAACATTATGCATTTGCTTTGAAAATGTTACCTTTCTAGTTTAGCACTGAGGTAGTGCAGAGAAAACTTACTTTCCCGTGACGTTCTGATTGACAGTTCTGGATGTTCCAACAAGTCCGCCATTTTCCAGAACGAAAGCGACAAGGCACGTGACAGTGGTGATGACGCACATTGTCAGAAACTTGGTCACGTGACTGATGTGCATCTGTGGCAAAATTGCACACAATCGAGTTAGTGTTGGCTATCAAATATACAAGATGTGCAATACCCATTCATAGAATGTAGCAGCTATGACCATCCGATGTCGCGATATATTTTACAACATTATACTGTACTCTTCTAAGCAGCGCTTGCCAGTTATTTTGTTGGGTTACATTTGGTCCCTTTCTTGCCTATTGTCGCATATATGCGAAGACGAAGTAATGTGTGTGCTTAATGCATGTTTGCATGTGTGCGTGAATACATCTGTGCGTGTGCGTATGTGTGTGCGTGTGTGTGTGTGTGTGCATGAGTGTGTAAATACCTGCATAGTGAGTCCAGAAAGCACCAGGACTATTGCGAAGACGAAGTACTGTGTGTAGGGACAGCTGAGGTCCAGTCTGTCAAGGGGTGGGGAGGAGAGGACGGGCCCCGTCACGTCACAAGACAGCTGAAAAGGCACGCAAAAACGTTGATGAAAGAATTGTACAGGGGTTTAATTAACCCTCACCATGCTAAAGTAGTCCTTTAGCTACCCGTTTTCCATTGGTTAAACCGCATCAGGGAATAGGTCAAAGATAGTATTCACCAGTGAATCCACTGCCATACTAAATGTCAATCGCATTTTCGTTATCACTAACTGCATCGCCATGTTGGTGTCCAAGTTGAGTGAACCGTCCTAGGTTAGTACGCCGCCATATTGGTGTCCTAGTTTAATACTAGTGACTCGTAACTCAGTCTTACGCAACATTTCAGTGAAACATAAACCATGAAGGTAATGTAGCTGCCAAAATATTTCAATTTTACGAAACCAAAAAACCTGCAAGAAAATTAAAAAGAAGAGGAAACAGGATATTACTGACCGTGTTGATGAGAATTCCTGCGATCACCATGATAAGAGCTACCAGTGTCCAGGTGTTCCGTATGTACCTGTTTCCGTCTAGCCAGGTGGACACTCTCACTAACATCACTGGGAAGTTCTGTAGAAGATAGTAAGCAACATGACATATCGTCATTATCGCCCATTGTCAACAACTTGCAGATGGTTGTTATTATGTTTACCTTCGCAGAAGGAAAGCATATTGTTTTTGCTCTGTTTCTTCCTCATCTTCTTCTTCTTCTCCGATCAAATAAAGTCAATGACCTGAACCAGACGTCTGTCACCATGGTAACTAGTGTTGGGTTGAATCATTTTGCAATTTTATAGCAGGAGGTATTTAGACAGGAGGTATATATATATATGAATGTGTTTAAGAATTCATTCACTTATTCTTATTTGTAAAGCGATTGAGCGTCCTGCATAGATGGCTAAAGAGTTCCAAGTGTTCAGAAGTGAAATTTATCCAAATCAAAAGTTAAACTTTCTACACTTCAACACGTGTACCTACCATGTGGAAAATGGTGGCTGACGTCACGATCACCATGGAAACGATTCCCACCAGGCAGATGACGAAGGCGACAGCAGCCATAATGGTTCTAGGAAAAACATGATAAAATAACATAATATGTTTGTTTGTATCTTTGTAACTGGCAATGAATAGGGTTTCCAACTAGTAAGGTAACATTTGCAAGGCAAATTTTAATATTCACATGGTCTTGCCTTACAAACTACTGCTAGCACTGTTTATTCTTAATCGAACATATTCATGAATATGGTGGTGAACGCCCACCCACCACTCTGTCGTGCCTTTGCTATATAATTTAATCCAACGCCACAAGATTCGGTTAATCAAAGTTGAGTCTCCAAAAGTCTGATGGATTGATAAGTTGTGAGTTGTGAAAAATCGAACGAAAACCTTACCGAGCAATTACTGTGATCTGGACCAGGAAGCAGAACACCAGGATGACGGCGAAGGCGACCAGGCAGACCGCGCACTGCTTCTCTCGCTCCTTCCCGAACTTTCTCTCCAGCTCGGCGTCCTTGAATCTCAAGGTCACGGGGTTGACCTTCCCGTCGATCCTGTGAACGACAAGAAAGTTTCAAACAGGTTGTCTCACCTTTACCTCATTTCACACTTTGCGCACGGCCCATATTTTGCACACCACCCGCATCTTGCACACGACACGCACATTATAGAGCGCCACTCGCCCGCTTCTTGCACACGGCACACACATTATAGAGCACCACTTTCATGGTTTGCACACGGCCCATCGCTAGACCTTGCACATTGCCCGCTTCTTGCACACGGCACACACATCATAGAGCACTACTCCCACGGTTTGCACACGGCCCATCCTTTGCACACTGCCCGCATCTTGCACACGGCACGCACATGAATGAAGATCTCACGCTTTATAGTCCTGCTCCTCCAGAGTTTTTCTGACCAGGTTGTTGATCTCCTGCTCGTTTCTGAGTGCCCGGATGGCCAGGCGCTGGAAGCACAGCCTTGCTGTTGGTTTCTTCCCGTCGTCCTGCAACAATGTATCTTTTCGTAAACATTTTGTTTAGTCTCAGCATTTGTTTATTAATGAAATCTTCAAATTGGCCTAGGCCTGCTGGCCGCTTGTCATTAAGGTCATAAGAGGAGCTGTCAGGGCCAGACAAAAAATAACAAGATACAGTCCTATTTTTTATTTTGATTTAAAAATCAATATACATAGATAATAATAATAAATCAATGGGAACGTATACTTACACATATGTGGCACCATAAAACACACAAATTTTGGTATATTATAACTTCACTGGGGTCGTTTCAGTCATTGCAAAAGTCTTTTAGTCTTTTTATTGAAACATAAGCAAACATCCCGAAACTAAAACAAGCACTATAGATATGAAAATATCATGTATCATGCTAAACAATTGTTGTGCAGTTTTCTACTTATCACTTATAAATATCTTTGTGCAATAGGAAAACTGCGCTGTTTTGCAGTTACCTCTCCACATCAACCAAGGAGGCAACTGAGTTGCTGAAGTAACAATTGTACATGCGCACACAGTTCACATGCTTGTCACAACACGTTTCTCCCGTTCTACCAGCTGACCCACCACTTTCTTGGCGGCGCCATTTTTGATCACTACGCTACTCCAGGCGGACTTCCGCGCGATTGGAGGTGCCAGATCCTTGGTCAGACATGAATGAAAAGACAGAACAAAGCAAAACACCTTCATACTAGAAAGGTAACATTTGCAAAGCAAATGCATGACATTTACCTTCGCATATGGTCTGCTCTGTTAATTCGTACTCAAACACATTCATATATATGGTCAGACAGGAGTCTAAATCCCTCCTGCTATAAAATTGCAACATTATGTAACCCAACACCAGTTACCATGGTGAGAGACGTCAACAAATCAGGTCATTGGCCAGGTCAGAGGTCAGTCAGTCATACACGTTGTATCAATTTTTCTAACTAATATGCAAGTCAAAGCTCAATTTTTAGGTGAACATTGAAATATGCTAGATCTTACTCAAGGAAAAGTTACCTGTAAATGATAATAGATTGTAATTGCCAACACAAAGATTGGACTCACCCAAATTTTCAAATTTTTGTGGTAGTAATTACAGTTCAATACTGTTCATAATGACTTCTACCACCAGATGAACTTTCAAGATATGGTAATAGATCGTGTGTAAAATGTTCCTACCCTTTTCTCTGTTCTCCGTTTGATGAGGAATGTTTTGATACCACGTGACTTGAGGTAGTCGTTCCGTGAAGCCCCGTTCCCCTGCTCAACTTCAAACTCCCCGTTCAGACAGTCGTGAGTCGCCTTGGAGATGTGAACTCTCCTGCAGGACGGGAAACAACGTGCGTTTACTTTCATGAAAGTTCATCTGTGTTGGTAGTTACATGTTTATTATAAAGTTAAAACCTTTGGTCCAACACAAAAAATTCTCTCACCTAGAGTCACCCGGACATTTTGTTTCACTTGACACTGTAAGGATTTTGGACACTGAACAAGACTATTTCTTGAGAGGGGTGAAGGAAGCCATATACATCAGGGCCCATCACCCTTCATTGAACTGCGACGGGGGCCGACATCGTCTACCAGATATACCTTTGACCCAGTGTTGACGTCACGCTTCAAAGAAGCCACGTGACAAGCTTCACTGGGTCAGTCTATTGAGGAGGACCAGAGTGACTGGTCGAAAGCTCTAGGTGAGAGAACTTTTTGTGTTGGACCAAAAGCTTTAGCTTCAAGCGTGTAACTAACAACACAGATGAACTTTCGCAGACAGACAGAAAGACACACAGACACACAGAAAGACAAGATAACAGTTTCAGATCAAACGTATTATGTTCAACTTCACATGGTCTAGGCTTACAAACTACTGCTTTGTTTATATTATTCTTACTTAAACGTAAAACACAATTTCATATATACATGTATGGACACCAGCCCCCCTGCAACACTGTCCAACCACTTGCTACATAATGTAACCCAACACCACAGGGTGTCTGCTACAGCACCGGTTACCATGGTGACAGACGTCTGATTCATTGGTCTTATGTGCTTGGAGAAGAAAAAATAAAGCAATAAAGCAAAAACAATGTTTTCCTTCTGTGTTAGACGTTTCATGCATGTTCGCTCCACTATGAAGAGGATTATGAGTATAAAGCTGCTTATGGTATTAACAACTAATGCTACAAAGATTAGATGATAAACATAGTACAACTATGATGATGAATAAATTATTAAGAACCAAGCGATTACCCGACGGATGTCAGGATGAAGGTGATAAGTATAAAAACCAAAAGATATAAGTAGGTCATACAGAAAAAAAAACAAGAAATGAAAGATTTCTCAAAGTTGTTAAAAAGAAAACCTATACCGGCCTAACTTTTGTCTCAACTGTAATGTATTGTACTGTGTGTGTTTTATGCATTGTATTCTTCTTATAAGTAAATCCAAATATTTTAATGCTTACCTTCGCAGAAGGAAAACATATTGTTTTTGCTTAGTTTCTTCTTCTTCGTCTTCTCCAAACACACAAGGTCAATGACCTGAACCAAACGGCTGTCACTATGGTAACTGTGCTGTAGCAGACAGTTCCAAACACTGTGGTGTCGGGTTACATAATATTAATGTTCCAAGTTGCAGTTGGAGGGGCTAGAATATACAAATGAATGTTTTGCAGTAATACATAGAGCAGTAGTTTGTTAGGAGGAGACCATGAGAAGGTTAACATTCTGCATTTGCTTTGCAAGAATAACCTTACTAGTTGCAATTTTAAAGATGAACACTACGTACCCAGGCATCCCCCCAGACTCCATCTGATTGGCCAGTGTGACGTCAGTGGACCAGACGTCGAACTGCCACCGCTTCTGCCCCAGAACTCCCGCCAAAACCGCGCCCGTGTGGATCCCAACGCGCATGTCCACCGGAGATCTCGTTTTCTCTCGCACTTGCCTGTGAGAATAGGGGATGTCGATCAAATGATTGTATAGTTGGGGAAAAGGACACTATTTCCAGCCCCCATTGGAGTATATGGAGAACTGAGCTGTCAAAAATCACCTACTTGAGTGTTAAACTATTGCAAACTCATATTCACAGAGTAGTCCAACTTCCAAATTGTCGATTTAGTCCAAAAATTTCACATTTTGACCAGCGAAAATAAGTACGATCCATGGAACCACTGAGATCATGACATCTGACCCCCCTGTACACCACCAAAAAACAAAAACATGACTCTACCAGGCAGCCAAAACAAGTCTATAAGCCAGTTTTTCAACAAAATAGAACAAGAAATATCTCTCCAGCTGGAAAATACCAGCATTTATCCACACATACCAAGAAAAAAGGCTGTTTTCAGTTGGTTACATAGAAGGTAACCGTATCAGATTTCAATCCTGTACTGATGCTACAGTGTAGCCAATACTTATAAGATGTAGACTGTACTAGAAACCCTGTACTTACGCTATGGCGTCCACCATATCGAGCCCCATGTTGATGCTACAGACTGCGTGGTCCTTTCTCGGTACAGGGACACCGCAGATGCAGTAGTAGCAGTCCCCCAGGATCTTTATACGCAGCTGGTTGTTAATCTATGTTAGCAGAACATAGATAAAAACTCACATAAAAGTTCATCAGTGTTACATGATTAAAGTTTAAACTTTTGGTCCAACACAAAAAATTCTCTCACCTAGGGCTTTCGACCATTCACTCTCGTCTTCTTCAGTTGACTGACCCAGTAAAGCTTGTCACGTGGCTTCTTTGGAGTGTGACGTCAACACTGTGTCAAAGGTATCTGGTAGACGATGTCGGCCCCCGTCGCGGTTCACTGGGTCAGTCTACTGAGGAAGACCAGAGTGACTGGAAAGCTCTAGGTGAGAGAATTTTTTGTGTTGGACCAAAAGCTTTAACTTTAAACATCACGAGACTTCATGACTTAAGACGTCTTGCTTTATCTTTAAGTCATTGGACCTTTCCTTACGTCGGCGAGTTTGTCGAAGCTTGCGAACAGCTCGTTGAGGATCTTGACGAGTTCCTGAGCAGAGACGGTGGTGGAGATGGCCGTGAAGCCCACTATGTCCGCGAACAGGATACTGGGAACGAGAAGACAAAGTCAGACCGGGAACGAGAAAATCCCGAGATTAATGGTTTAATGGTCTCCTACCTGACGTTTTCGTGACGTTTAATGGTCTCCTACCAGACGTTTTCGTGACGTTTAATGGTCTCCTACCAGACGTTTTCGTGACGTTTAATGGTCTCCTACCAGACGTTTTCGTGACGTTTAATGGTCTCATACCAGACGTTTTCGTGACGTTTGAAGTCTCCTACCTGACGTTTTCGTGACGTTTGATGTACATCTGCTGGAACTGCCTGTCCTCGGTGTCCTTCCTGCTCATGCCTCTGCGCATGTCCTCCGCCACGTGACGCGGCAAAATCGACATCAGCAGCTGCTCCTGCAGTACACGTGAAAGTCGCTAGGCTTTAAAATTTGTGGTTTTCAAAGAGAAATCCCATTCAGCACCATGGACAGGTGTGTTGGGTAAAGGTTGGTAAAAATGGATCGTATCAACCCCGAGAGGACATGAGGTAGCAAAAACAGCAATTAGCTCGAGCTTTAGGCCACACCAATTTGATTTCTTGGTTTCTCAGATTTTTTCAGAAAAATTATGAAACGACAGAGCGAAAAAATAAAAACAGGACTAGGCATCCTATGCTAGCCCCGTATTCTATGATAGGAGCCATGAAGTCAACATACCAGGCTGGTTCGTATTCCAAACAATGTGGATGAATTTCTAACTTTAATCAAACCACTGCATTGATAGATGGAAAAAACTTTAACAACTCCGAAGAGAAGGGACTTCCTTCAACTGTTGGGGTCTAAATATGCGTTGATTCAGAGCCTAAATTTTTTTTTCATATCAGAAAAAATTTTTAAAAATTAGATTGGTGTGGCCTTATGATTAAATGCCTGCAGGATACCCAGAGACCGTATACTTATTTTAAAAATTAATATTACAGACAGTTTCAAAGTCACTGTTACCTGATGCTGCGTCTGTTCCTGGAGATGAACTTTGACCTCCAGAGATGACCTTGTGTCCAGGAACGATTTCCGGTACTTCCGGTCCACCAACAGGTAGAAGACCACACCCAATGTCACGGCGCATGCGTAGAGAAGGCCGTTGCTTATGAGCTGAATAATAAAATCAGATTTCGTTTGCATAATCAAAAGGAGGCAAGGTGAACTAGGTGGCCTTGCAATAGACCTCATTCCAGATACAGTCGCCATATTGATTCCATTCTCGCGAGAGCACATCCTTAGCGTGAGCGCGCGTGATCTCGCACGAAAGCGAGACTCCGGATGGATCGCGCATTTCCCTGTATGCGTATACATTCCCTGTGGTTAGGATTGTTAACTCAGAATCTGACAGATCCCAATGCTGTGCCCTCGGGAAATTCACTTAACACCATAGCGGCTTGTCGCAATATAGGCCTCTTCAAAAATACTCTCCTTTCTCGGAATTTTTCCGTTGCTAAGGAACATGATTTCTGTCGAAGGCTCAAACAAATTTCCAGTACTAATTGGGTTTCTCTTTTAAGAATCGTATGCTTGCCAGAGGGCATATGGAATTATTGAATTGCATGCCAAGAAAGCCACTTGCTTGCCTGGATACAAAAAGGCATCCGTACAATTTTATCAAGCATTTTCTTTGCATATTTCACAAGCTTATCTTTAAGTTATCAAAATTACGTTCCAATCTCCATCGAAAACACACTTGGAATGTTGTCCTATTACTTTTATGTAGCAAAGTCCACAAATAACAAAAACTGTTAGTATTACATCGAGTTGCAGTGGAAAATTAATAAAAAAAATAATAACATCGTGCACGCAGCAGGCATACCTGACATAGCTTATCTTATCAAAAGTGCACAGTGACAACACGTCATTTTATGTAAGGCCACAGCAAGTAAATTTTATGGATGACATCCTCCGCAGACTCCAAATCTAATGCAAGCGGGCGAAAAAAGGCCCGAAAAAAACAAGGTTCCTACATTTTAAAATTTTGACTCAATCATTGTACAAATGGTTTTCATTCAGTGGGAATGTCTCCTCTCTTCATAGTTAGTTATCTGCCATCCACCTTCCGGCATGGCAACAGACATCTTTGCCCATTTTCGGCATGTTCACCACACAACAAAGTTTCTTTTTTTCTAAAATCAGGCGAAAATTAATGCGCGCGATGATGTCATCCATAAAAATTACTTGCTGTGGCCTAACTCATCTGTCCAGGGCCGGGCCTTTCATACTTTCTATTGGCGAGAGTATAAAAATAGTGCACGAGTACAATGAATATTTGGTTGAGGATCGGCTATTGTGTGGTGTACATAATGAACCACAAAGCCTACATGGCGAGCATATCTTAATTATCGACATTATGGCAAAGCATCACTGAACATGTGCCACTGGCATCTGCTGTTTGTATCATCAGCCAGAATGAACAGAGCAGCCATTTCATATGCATTTGATATATCATTTCTTACAGTCACATTTACTGTAAATTAATTTGTTTTGCGAAGGTTTAATTTCACGATAGGATTGGAGAGTTCACGGTCGAAACACATTCACGATGTCATAAACCCAATTAAACCAAAATCGCCGCAAATATATGAAAAATAACAGTAATATAAGACTACTGACCTGTAGCCCGAGATACTCTGTCTGCGCCTGCGCCATGACCCCGCACAGAACGGCGTGACCCACGGCTGTGGCACCCGTGAGTAACAGCAGGGTCAGCAGGCTCAGCGGCAGACAGGACAGCACCACGAACACGAGGAACAGCTGCAAGAAAAGGAGAACAGCACCATTAACAGGTGAAATAAAAATTGGCACCTGTCACACAACATTTGTAACAGCACAGACAGCAGGCTCAGCGGCAGACAGGACAGCACCACGAACACGAGGAACAGCTGCAAGAAAAGGAGAACAGCACCATTAACAGGTGAAGTAAAAATTGGCACCTGTCACACAACATTTGTAACAGCAGAGACAGCAGGCTCAGTGGCAGGCAGGACAGCACCACGAAAACAAGGAACAGCTACAAGAGAAGTAGTACAGCACCATCATTAGTAGCGGGAATAGCAGGTTGGGCAGGACAGTACCTTGCACAGAGGGAACAGCCAAACGAGCAGAACAGCAATATGAACAGCTGAAACAGACATATTTCAAACCACCACTCAATTTTGAAGCTTCAAAGTTCATTTTTAGTGAACAATGACAGTTGATGCTGTGTTCCCCTTCTAAGATTTCCTTTTAAAAAATCTTGTAAAGCTTAAGAAATTATCTCAGGAAATTCTTTGAGTAATCTAGTATAAGTAGAATCTTATCTACCAATCTAAATAAAAACTGAAAAATCAATATTTACTAATTAAAAAGAAATATTAAGTGTTGCTGCATTCCCTTTCTTAGATTTCTAAGATTCTTGGATCTTAAGAAGAGACAATCTTAGACCATATTAAGACTCACCTGCCACTCGAGCGAGTGAGTCGGCGTCAGTCTCTGTCCCTGCAGCCCGCTGTAGGTCAGCGCCTGTGCCGTCAGCAGCGCCCACACCAGGTACGGCAGGACCCTCTCCTCCAACTTTTTCGAACACTTGCCGGCCTTACACAGCGCGAAGAACGCGGCGTGAACACATAACAGCAGCGCCGACAGCACGATAGTCGGCAGTCTATCCATGGAGAACGACACACAGTCCATTACAAGAATTCTTAGTTCGTACAAGACGGCGATTAACAACACGCAGAGGAGACATCCTCGCTTCTGTCTACGGAAGTAGCCCCGGTAGACGGTCTCGAGGCGGGGGGAACCGAGCGACACGGTGAACTTCCTCCGGACGATGCTCGCCCACGACCGAGACTTGTTCCCGGACGTCCCGGTGGACGCCCTGTCGGAGACGTTGTTACTGGAGGCAGGGTTGACGTTGTCAAACCCTCCATCCGTGGACTCTATCACCGTGATGTCGGTCATCTTGATTCCTGGACGCGTTTCCACGATGAAATATTCGGCTTTGCCGTTTTTCCTCTTTTCTCTCTCGTTGTTGGGTTTAACCTAGTTTGGCCCCTTTTGGAAGCTTTGGGGGCATTTGTTAGCCCGAAGGGCAGGTGAAATATTGCAGAGGGTCCGAATGGCGCGGATCCAGGAACAAACGTCTAGACTAAATCTTACACACATGCAACGCGTGGGTTTGCTTTCCTTATTCCTGGAGATCCTTTTGTGCTTCAGGGAGTTGGCTTCAGGACCTTTAAACGCGACGCTCTCGCTCGTGCTTGAATTAGAATGAGCAAATCAACCTTTCCTCTGTTGATGCATATGTACCTGACAAATCAAGCTATATGTTTACGTCCCTATTTGGTCAGTGCAAAGGAAACCTTACAATGATAAATACCTTGCGTTCCTCTAAGGCGCGACGTTCAGAGAATGTACAATGAGTTGCTGTCCCGTCAACAGAAAGGTCGTGCAGTAGTCCTTTGCTTGATTTCTATAGTCTGGGTTTGATCACGTTTTTACAACATATGAGACGCGCCCGGTTGTGTGTCAGTACTACAGTTAATCCTACCGATCAATTGGATGATTCCGAAACTGCCTGTCACCACGGTTGGCGATCATGCCGAGATACACGCTGGAAGATACGGTACCCCCATGGCCGGCTGGGCCGTTTTGTTGTCAAATCGTCCCGTTTGGATCTGCAAGCAATCTCCGCACGTCCATCTCACACACACACAGTACCTCTCCTGCAGCTGAACCCTACTCATCCAACATCTGAGATGTAAGAAGATTTTGCAGGCTACACAGCGATTAACGGCTTAGAGGATAATCCTGGAGGGTTAATCTTCACCACAAAGTACGACAGCATCCGATACGGTGATGTTGATCACCAGATCGCTTCATAAAACCCGGCTGGCCCTTGTCGAGTCACGAAGGGCGGCGGGGTTAACACAAGATCGATGCCTGTCGTGCTCGGTTCAGTCCCCGCTGCTGCTAGGTTCAGACAGCGCTACAGGTAGGGGCAGTTTGCCGGCGTTGGTTCATGCTTCATCAGCGGTACGTCCTGACGGAAATGATTAGTGCAGGCAGGTCCTTGTGTCTGTCTCATTTGGCGAACGGTTCAGTGATAATTTCGCCCACGCCGCTCGAGCACTGATGACAAAAACCCCAGCAGACAAGAGATATGCACCGCGTTGTCTGTTCGAAAACACCGCTGTCTTTACGCTCTTTGCCTGGCCGTTTTTATACAGGATTACCGCAACGAGGGATTTAGAGAACTTGAAGCTAGACAGACTGAAGCTAGACTGCTGATTCACTGGCGCTGATTCTATCTGTACTGTGTTGACTGATACACTATTTCTCTCCCTATCTTCAGAATGTCGCCTCCCTGTAGCCGTTTACAGAGTTATGCACCTTTTAGGATTTTAACAATTGTAAGCTAGGCTTCCTCGGTGCCAGTGGCGCGGTTGAGATCCCCGAAACACTGTTTCCCTCGCAATGAAGGTAGAAAGAAGGTCTCACCTGCTTGCTGTCGTCTGTTTTTCTCCGTCCTTTGAATCTTGTTTTCCTACAGAGCTCCAGACCGCCGCGAGTTTCAGACGACTCCCAGCAAAGATTCCCCGCTGTTTGGGGAATAGCAGAGCGCTTTCATCAGTCGTGGTTTCATCCTCTTCATCTCAGGAAGCAAGATGTATCTATTTTAATCTATTTTACACACCCGAAGACGAGATAAATCTTTCCCTCGGCTGCCACCCTGGTTGTTTTAACGCTTGGTTTCGCACCGCTGCGGCGTTTTAACGTTTCTCAATAAAAGCGGGTAAGTTTAATGTATCTGCCGTATCAATCACTCTCTGACAGGCGCGGGGAATTCTGCTTGCCGGTCATGCGCTGCGGAGGAGCTCAGCGGGAGACGGGAACATTCCGGGCGGGCGAACGGTTGGCGAATCGCCGCTAATCAAGTTGTCAACGTCGCCGCCGCAGTGGTCTGATACATGCGGCGTCGTACGTCATTCACGTCAGGTGTTCTACTCGTGCGTCCGTAATTTTACCATGTACGGTGATATATGTATTGTGGTGCTATACGTCATTTACGTCGCAAATTCTAGCATGGCAATCCGACCTTCACACCTGTTCCGACACGTGTAACGTGGGACGGTACGTCAGTCACGTCAGGTGTTCCACCTGTGCGTCCCGAATTGTACCACGTACGGCGACACCACGGTAAACGTAGCGTCTAACACGAACGTCACTTACGTGAGGTGTTCTGTCCAGAACGGCGTCTACGACGGCAATCCGACAAGCACACCTGTCGTAATACCTGTAGTACAGAACAGTACGTCATTCATGGTTACGTCAGGTGTTGCGTTCCCCAATTTCACCACGGCAGGTTGGCCGTTACACCGACACGCACGTAGACCCTTTACGCCGATTGAAACGGGGAAGCACGCGAATGTGTTGCCGGTGTCACCACTCCTTTCCTGCGGTTGTATGGCCGCTCAGCACACGGAGTTTGCACGAGGAATCTTACGTTTCCACAACAATGTAAGTTTCATGTCACAGGCTTAGTCAGGAATAGAGCTGCGACGTCGTACCTGAAACAAACAATAAACAAGAAATCTGATATTACAAACCTCCATGAAGTATATCATGCATAATTATGTTCACAACAACAAGGCCTTTAAAGGCCTTTAAACCAACATGAAGTAAGACCGTAAGGTTTCGTTCTGCTGCTTTGCCCCCATTACCCCTGAGCTGAGAAACATTCGTGAAGTTCTCTCCTCGGTGGCTGACTTTAATTTCACCCTCGACTGGCGTTCAACCGCACGAGACAACAAAAGTCAGACTTCATCAAATAAGTTATATATCGAGACTCTTCCTATATTATCTGCTGTCTTACTGCAATTTTCATGTTATCTTAAGATTTTGTCGGAACGCCCATTTGAAGTTTTCTTATTTGTTATGTTTACCGAAGGAAAACATATTGTTTTTACACAGTTTCTTCCTCTTCTTCTTCTCCAAATAGTGACCTCTGACCTGACCAATGACATGATTTGTTGACGTATGTCACCATGGTGACTGGTGTTGGGTTACATAATGTTGCAATTTTATGGTCGGCTCTGCTCCTGTTACCATATACTAGTGGTACATGTATGTAAGAATTAACAGAGCAGACCATATGTCTGAAGGTAAACATTATGCATTTGCTTTGCAAATGTTACTTCTCTAGTTATTGATATGCATTCTTCTTAGGCTAAAATGTGCTGGATTTGTCCAGCACTCTGTCTTGTACTTTGTATGTTTTTATGATGATAATAATAATAATAATAATAATAATAATAATAATAATAATAATAATAATAATAATAATAATAATAATAATAATAATAATAATAATAATAATAATAATAATAATAATAATAATAGATAATAGTATAATAATAATAATAATAATAATAATAATAATAATAATAATAAAAGAATATATATATATGTGCGTACATCTGTGCATTTGCCACTTTGTCTAAACCTAATAGATGGCGAATATCACTTTCTGATTGTATATGTGGTCAACTATGATAAAATTGATATGCTTCAATATATCACTATATAAAATTCTATCACATTCCGTACCAGTATTTCTATGGATGGGTTCAAACAGCAAATCTAAGTACATATTGACATGTGATAACATATGCATATTGTAAACATAGGACAATTTCTAAAAAAAAATGCGTAAACGCTAGAATATTCACCATTGATTGCAAAAATACATTTTTATCCCATACTACACTGCCTTTTTAAATTATAAAGTAGACAAGTCTGCGAAGGAGGCGGACCATGAAATTGCAACATTATGTAACCCAACACCAGTCACCATGGTGACAGACGTCAACAAATCATGTCATTGGTCAGGTCAGAGGTCACTGTTTGGAGAAGAAGAAGAGGACAAAAACAATATGTTTTTTTCTTCGGTAATCATAATAAGCCTCATAGCATGTCATATGGTACAGATGCCATACTTAGTACCTTGTGCACCTTGTACCTTTATGTTTATGTAACTTTGCCAATACGTTGGAAGAATCCAGAGCACCAATCAGTGATATTATTAGTCAGAAATCTATAAAAACATATTGAAGATTACTTATGGATTAACACTATTCACGACACAATCCAGGTTTGCAAACACAGCGCAATTTGCTGTCTTATCGTTCCACAAAGAGAGAATGACCTCCTTTTCTAAGAATTAACCTGGTATCCAGTCTATCGTGGTTGGGGCGGGTTTTCTTCGGGGCTGCTGAAGATCTTCCCCGCCCGCCTGAGCTAGGTTCCCCGGTAGGGTGTTGACGGCGGGAGTTTGATTAGCCCCACCACGATCGAATCTTGTGGTGGGGCGACAATTATGAAAATCTCCCGGCGTGCAAATTAAAATCCTACCGGGCGGTCTGTTGAGCTGGACGGGGGAAAACTACTAGAGCCCCGTAGACAGCCTGCCCCAACCACGATAGACTGGATACCGGTAAGGAATATCTGTCATGCCATGTCTTGCCAGTATCTGCAGGTGTGTAACCTTGTCGCACGCTACACACATTCCACCACAGTTTGTCATCTTGAACAACAGCAAGAAAAGCCATACGGAGCCCCAAAATTAACCTTGAGCTAGCCTCCATAGCATGCCAACAACTTGGGGGGTTGGGGGGTCTTCATGGTCTTTTGGAGCTTTTATTTGCTATTTTCTGATTGCATATAGACAACATAGCCGGCCTGGTTGAATTCCCCCCGTTTTTAGAACTGGGCTAAAAAGAAAACAGCCAAACACCACCAAACCCACAGTTCTATAAGCCTGCTACGGAGGCTAACCTTGACCACTGTCTTGCTAGTGACAATCTACCCACACACCAACTACCATCCGCCCATGGCCTCTTGAATTAGGCCACAGCACGTAAATTTTATGGATGACATTCTCCGCAGACTCAAAAAAAATATACCCTGACCAACTGAAATATGCTGAAGTTAGAAACAACAAAAGTTCCGAGACCTCATTCCTCCATTAAAATATGGGCTTGACATGTAAATTCATTCTTTAATTATGCAAATTACCTCTACATAAACATAATAAATGCACCGTGATGTTAACTTTTGATTAACTTAGACATGTTCCAAGTATGAAATTCCCATCATTTACCACTGAGTCATAGAATTTTGAGATTAATTATGCAAATTAGGTCCGTATTT